ATCTGACCCCACCCACAGAGGCAAAAAAACGCTAAGGGTGTGTGACAGAACAGCAAGGGGAGCAGGGAAAGGAAGTCCTGAGGGATTACCAAAAATAGACTTTGGGGCCAGGGCGTAGCACCCCATCAGACTCAACCGGAAAACACTCCTAAATGTCAACAAACAGACCTTGAACTATTTACAGGCTTTTCATTTCTTTTGTCATTGGTTTTTGTTGTTGTTTTGCTTTCTTTTGCTCTGCTTTGTTTTTTGTGCGTATTATTATCTCTGTAGGTCTATCTAGATAAGATAGGCTGGATAAACAATCTGGAGGAGAAAACAACTGAAGCTGGCAGCGGGGAAGGTGGGGGGAAAAGAAGTGGGTGTTAACAAACCCTGGGACAAGGAAACAACAAGTGATCCAAAATCAATGGCAAGGAAGGTGTAGGAGGCCTGGTAGGGTTTGATCAAGGGCAATGTAACTGAGGAATTACTGAAACCCAAATGAAGGCTGAGCATGAGAGTGGGACAAAAGTAAAAGGAAATAGAGGCATATACATGTGTAAATATATTTATATATGACGATGGGGAAATAGATCTATGTACAAATATTTATAGGTTTAGTATTAAGGCAGCAGGTGGACATCGGGCCTCTACTCAAGTACTCCCTCAATACAGGAACACTTTGTTCTATTAAACTGACATTCCATGATGCTCACCTACCTGACACAATTGCTGAAGACAAAGCGGGTGCAGAAGCAAATGTGAAGAAAGTTGATGGTGCCTGGCTATCAAAAGATATAGCATCTGGGGTCTTAAAAGCTTGAAGATAAGCAAACAGCCATCTAGCTGAGAAGCAACAAAGCCCTGATGGAAGAAACACACCAGCCTGTGTGATCATGAGGTGTCGATAGGATCAGATATCAGGCATCAAAGAGCAAAAAATCTTATCACTGTGAATGAGGGGGGGAGTGTGGAGTGGAGGCCCAAAGCCCATCTGTAGGTAACTGGACATCCCCTTACAGAAGGGTCACAGAGAGGAGATGAGCCAGTCAGGGTGCAGTATAGCAATGATGAAACATACAACTTTCCTCTAGATCTTTAATGCTTTCTCCCCACCCCACCCCCACTATCATGATCCCATTTCTACCTTACAAATCCAGCTAGACCAGAGGATGTACACTGATACAGATAAGAACTGAAAACACAGGGAATCCAGGACAGATAATCCCCTCAGGACAAATATTGAAGTAGCCATACCAGGAGGGGAAGGGGAAGGTGCGGTAGAAAGGGGGAACCGATCACATCGATCTACATATAACCCCCTTACAGCGGAACAGACAACAGAAAAGTGGGTGTAGGGAGACATTGGACAGTGTAAGACATAACAAAATAATAATAATTTATAAATTATCAAGGGTATGTGAGGGAGGTAGGGTGGGGGAGGGAGTGGGAAAAATGTGCTGAAGGGCTCAAGTAGAAAGAAAATGATTTGAGAATGATGATGGCAACAAATGTACAAATGTGCTTGACACATGGATGGATGTATGGATTGTGATAAGAGTTCTTATAGCCCCCAATAAAATGATTTTTTTTTAATGTTACAGTCGCTGAAGCTCACAGTGGCAGTTCTACCCTGTCCCTTAGAGTCACTCTGAGCCAGCATTACTTGATGGCAGTGAGTGAGTCCCATTTTCAGGAAAAAAACAAACAAACGATTATCAGGGACCCCCTAGCAGTTAAGCATTTCTGTGCTGTAGAGCAAAATCCAAGATAAAGGGCAGGTGTCTGCTTTTGCAGGCCCCCTCCCCCGATCCTGGTTCATTCCAGAAGCCTCAGGGGATGGTATCACCCATTTTGGGAAACATTGCAACAGACAGAAGACTGAACCTTGGATTTGGGATGGGAGACCCACAACCACATGTGCCACTTAAAAAGCTTCATGCGTTCTGTAAGATGTTGCAGTGAGTTGCAGAAGCCGGGGACCCAAGGGACTCTACTGGAAGGAAAACAGTGGTACAACATCTTAGAAAAGCTATATTTTGGGGACATCTTTAAGCCACACCTCCTAGGACAAGTCTGGGATTAATTCTTCTAAAATTATTACCACAAGAAGCAATTTGTCCAATGTGAACAAAAAGTGACCGAACCAGATGGAACAAAGCAAAGAGGATGTAATTATAATGAGACAAGACGGTCGGAGCTGAAGAGTCAGACCAAATCGAAACTCCAGGTTTCACTTGTTATTTTTCACCTTGAGCTCCTGTGTTCACATCAGCAAAATGATATTGTTTTGGAAAACCAGCGCATATATTCTTTTAAGCGAAGGACACACAAACGACAATGCAGTCTACATATCATTATTGTCAGGAGATAGATGTGAATTGCACAATTCTTGGCACTGTATGCATAAACATAATACTAGTTGAGGCTCCGAGTACAATTTTCATGACTTTAGTTGCCATCCTTCACCCTGTAAGCCTCAGCTTCCTTATCTGTACAGTTAGAACATCATAAGCAGCAGTTCTCAACCTGTGGGTCGTGACCCCTTTGAGGGTCGAACGACCCTTTCACAGGGGTCGCCCGATTCATAACAGTAGCAAAATTAGTTATGAAGTAGCAACAAAAATGATTTTATGGTTGGGGGGGTCACCACAACTGTATTGAGGAACTGTATTAAAGGGTCGCGGCATTAGGAAGGTTGAGAACCATAGCTCATAAGGCTATACTAGAATGTATATGACATAGCATTTTTCTATATTATTCATGGTCATATCTTTAAGGCATTTGTCTATATTATTCATAGTCATATCTTTAAGGCAAGTATTTATGAATCTAAGTAATTGAGAAACTGTTGAAATAATGCACATGGTATATTTAACTTAACATTTGTAATCTGAGAATATTTTTAATCACTTTACAGTGTTATGAATGAAGCAAGCAAATATATTTTAAAAATTCTAGAATTGGCTGGCTTGGAAACATGGGAGTTTTCAATGCACCCCCCTTTGTGCCATTCCATGGGCATACCATGTAAATACAGTCACTAAATTTTAAAGACAATTAAAATTTCAAGCCTGGTTCTCCCACCACCCCAGCCCTGAGCCCTAGCAGCTCAGATGGCAGTCAGAGGGGCAACAGCCAGGCAACCCTGCTTTGAGAAAGCGCTCAGTGCCCCGAAGTCCACAGGCATTCAGCAAGTCGGCTCTCCACCGCCAAGATGCCCACACAGGAGGCCAGCTTTGCCGACTGGGGCAGTGGAGGAGGAGCCCGAGAGGAGATGAGTGAGATCAGCACAACTTGCTCTTGCAAAAGTGCAGATGAAGCCAAAAAAAAAAAGGCAGCAGGAAAGGAAAAATCTTCAGACAACAGAAGGCAAGCAAAAGGGGAGGGCAAGCAGGCTCAAGCAGCTAACCAAGAACCTCAAAATTCATCAGCTCAAAATGGACGAATGAAAAGCGAGGAGAGTCCAGTCTGATGAAGCAGGAGAAAAAGAAGCCAAGGTATGAAAGTTTATCTACCAGTCTTATCAGGGGGCCCTGTGTCCCTTTTTATATAATCCAGAAGAAAACTTCTAGCAACTATTTTGTATATTCAAGTGTTTTAGTAGCTCTGGAAACATTTTGATGAATGAGGAAATCCCACTTAATTCCACCCCTTTTTTTTTAGTGTAAATGCCTTTTTTTTTTTTTTGTAAGGCACGAAATCATTTACTGGTTGTTTGTGTTTTGGTACAACCAGAAAATAGTGATGTTGCATTACGGGAAAATGTGACTTTTCAAGGTGTCAACATAACATTCCATGGGATGGGGGCAAGATGCGAAGATTTTTTATCCCTACTATAAAATATACTTGATGGCAATTTGAGTCAGAGTTATGCATATGTCTGACTAGGACATTTAAAATGTTCTTTGTACGCTGTTTTGGTTAGTCGAGCTGTGTCTGATAACCATTCTGTGCATTCTGTAGCACCTTTGGTCACGGTAGTGCCGTTTCCTGGGAACTGCATTATGCGCTATGAAGTGTTGAGCATCGGAGTGTGTAGTTGGTGCGGTAGTAAATTGTGATTTAGTGGGACTAGAGATGTAAGAGTTTCATTCAACCTTTGAAGATCGTGGTACTTGATAAACTCTTTTTTTTTTAATTGCCTTCAAATTGAAAGCTGGAAAGTCACTGAAATATAGAAAAGAATTGTATGTACATGCCATTTTAGGATTTGGGTATACAGAAAAGTGGGTGAAGGAAGACGTCGGGCAGGACAAGATATGACAAAATAATAATTTATAAATTATCAAGGGCTCATGAAGGAAGGGGGAGTGGGGAGGGAGGGGAAAAATGAGGAGCTGATGCCGGGGGCTTAAGTGGAGAACAAATGTTTTGAGAATGATGAGGGCAATGAATGGACAAATGCGCTTTACACAATTGATGTATGTATGGATTGTGATAAGAGTTGTATGAGCTCCTAATAAAATGATTAGAAAAAAAAGAATTGTGTACACATTGTTCATAATATCTCTGTACTGATCTCAAAACAACGAATAACATGCCAGTTACACACACACACACAAATTAAGAGCCAAAAGAACCTTTTCAGGAAGAGGTTACAGAGTAGATCCTGATTTCATTCCATGAAATTTATAGGCACTGCCTGATACGATAAGTACCTCCTTCAATTGTCCCCTCCCTTCCTCATTTTAAACCAGCTGAATTTCAGCCCTTGAAAAGAACTTGGAACATTTTAAAACTCTATAAAGATGGTAGGTGTTCAACCTTCATTGTGAACAAGAGGCAAGGTCTAGGTTTCTCCGTCCCCAGTGCTCTAGGTGCGGTGAGTGCAGTGAGACTGAAATCTCCTGACATCAGAGGCAAGCAGGGCCTCAGGAGGGTTAAAGCAATGCTCAGCCCTGGACAGTTTCTCCAGCAGGCCATCTGGAGACCTTCCAACTAAAGTCAAAGACAGAGTAGAAGGAGGGGGCTGTGAGAGGGACGGTGGATCTCACTTGCCGATGTAAACAACTCACCGATTGAAAAGGGCAGAAAGTCGTCTCTTTTCTTAAACTGTCCATTCTCCAGAAAATGCTCCGGATTGAATGTGTCAGGGGTGGCCCATTTGGTGGGGTCACTGTGCAGCGCAGTCAGATTGGTCAGGATCATGGTCCCCTGAAAGCAGAGAATACCAGAAAGATGTTTGCTTGTGTTTTGTCGACTAGGCAAAGGCATTCGACGGAGTGATTCCTAACAAACTAAGAACAGCAATAACTAAAATGGGTAGCTCAGGCAAAGAGTTTCAAATCAAATAATGGGTGGTTTAAATTAGGAAAAATAAGTGTCAGGGTTATATGCTTACAGCACACTTATTCAATATGAATGCTGAGCAAGTGATCAGAGAAGCAGGATTATACAAAGAAGAATGGGGCATCAGGATTGCTGTTGTTGGCTGCCATTGAGTCAGTTCCAAACCCTAACTACCTATGTGCAACAGAGAGCACGAGTCCTGTGTCCGGGTCCTCTGTCATTCTCACAATGAATGATTCCCTTGCTTGAGCCCATCATTGCTCTCCCGGGTCAGTGCATCTCCTTGAGGGCCTTCCTCTTTCTGGCTGCCCTCTACTTAAGCAAGCAGGATGTCCTTTCCGGGGACTCTTCTCCTGACAACATGTTCCTAAGAATGTAAGACCAAGGCTCACCACCCTTGGCTGTAAGGAGCGCTCTGGTCATACTTCTTCCAAGACAGATTGGTTTGTCTTTTAGGAGTCTATGGTACTTTCAATATCCTTCTCCAGCACCATAATTCAAATGCATTGGTTCTTCTTCAGTCTTTCTGATGCAATGTCCTACTTTCAGATGCAAATGAGACCATTGAACATACCAGTGGCTTGGGTCAGGCACAACTTAGTTCTTAAAGTAAGATCCTTACTCTTCAATAATCTAAAGTATTCTCATGCGGTGGATCTACCTAATGCAATACATCTTTTGATTTCATGACTGCTGCGCCCATGAGCATTGATTGAGGATCCAAGCAAGATGAAATCCTTGACAACTTCAACCTTTTCTCCATTTGCCATGATGTTACCTATTAATTTGGCCTTGAATCTTAGAAGACAGCTACTTGGCTAAATGACGTGAAGAGATCCATATTTGGACCTATTCCAAAGAAAGGTGACCAAACAGAATTCTTGGTTATAGCATTATAGAAAAGTTATAGAAATTATAGAAAAATATCACTGAAACCACTTGCAATTAAATTTTGCTGAAGGTCACCCAACAACAATTTTTCCCATTAATCATGATATTACGTAATGTCCAAGCCATGAGGATTTGGTCTTCTTTATATTCAGCGGTTATCCATACTGAAGGCGACAATCACTTTCAAGTTGTCAAGCATTTTTGTCTTGCTTGGATCCACAGTAAATACTCCTGAAAGCAGCAGTCAAACAAAGGACACACTGTGTTAGGTAAGTCTTCTGCACATGCTCCCTTTCAGGTACTGAAAATCAAAGATGACAATTTGAGGACTAAGGTGCCCCTGATCCAGGCCGTGGTATTTCAGTTGCCTCCAATGCATGAGGAATTTGGATATTGAATAAGGACGCCGGAAGAAGAATAGATGCATTTGAATTGTAGTGCTGGAGAAGACTATTGAAAGTACCTTAGACTTCTAAAAGGACAAACCCATCTGTCTTGGAAGAAGTGCGGACAGAGCGAGCCTTGGTCTTATATAGTTTGGACACGTTCTCAGGAGAGACCGTCCCTGGAGAAGGAGATCATGTCTGGTAAAGTGGAGGGCGGTGAAAGAGAGGACAGCCCTCCAGGAGATGAACTGACACAATCGCTGCAACGTGGCCTCGAGCATGGGGACAATTGAGAGGACGGCACAGGACCGGAAACTGTCTCATTCTGTTGTGTCTGCCATCACGCTGGATTGTAACAGGCTGGATGCAGCAATACATTGATGGGGAGTTGCCAGAGGTTCAGGAAGGATTTTAAAAGGATGTAAAAAAGGGATCTCATTGCAGGTGTCACATGGATCTTGGCTGAAAGCAGAGAATACCTATAAGATGTTTATTTGTGTTTTATTGACTAGGCTAAGGCAAGTTGCTGAGTGGATCACAATAAAACACGGATAGCCTCTCCTGTGAGGTCAGGAGGAACCAGAATAGACGCAGTGGAAGCGGTGGGTGATGCTAATCAGATTTCAGCAGAGCTTTCAGACTAAATCTGGTGGTCTATTTCTGAAAACAGCTAAATGAATCCCCTAGGAATCACAATCATTTAATCCTGTAGTGCATGAGTTGAGGGTTGAATCTATAGCTGACACACATTTTCTCAGGCCCTCCCTTGACCCTTTGAAACCACTGTGCATCCTGAAAGAAGGGTGAACTTTGAAAATGATTTAGCTGCACCACACTCACCCATCAATGCTGACCTCAAAGTTGAAGCCCTTCTGTATCTTCTCATCACTTGTGTATCCAAGACCATCCCCTGACCGTCCCCTTATCTTCCTTCCTTCATTGACACTGTGGGCTGAGGCATAGGAACGATTGTGGGGATGGCATAGGACCGTGCTGGGTGTCATCTGTTGTGTATAATGTGTGTATATAGGCTTTCTTCCAGTTTCTCAAATGTGCTATACTCTCACTTAAATCTTTTTCTTTTTTTTTTTAATGTTCCCTCTCCTCTCTGGAATGCTCTTCCCTACTGCAGGACCCTGTATGAGCCCGTGTGGCTCTCCTAGCCACAGCCCATTTACCAACTCCACACAAACCATTTCTTGCTCATGGATCTAAGTAAGAAGATACGGATTCCGTTGTGAATACTTGTTAGATGTTACGCCAACTTGAACCTGTGTGAAAGTAGAGGTGGTGTCCAACCTATCAATCAGGTCACAGCCTGATGATGCCTCCTGGGGGTGTGGCCTTGTTTACAAGGGAAATGGTGAGTAGCCCTCTCTTTTCCTTGCCTCTGTACTTTCCTCCTGGCTGGGACTTAACGGCTTCTAGGAGCAGCTTGCTCCGGGTGGGTTGATGACCCTGGAAGCTGTTGGCACTCTGCTACGTTCCCACCAACTTGGACCAGCCGACGCTGCCGCCATCAGCCTGAGAGCTCCCTATGTACCACTTCACCTTTTGACGTCATCGACCTAAAGCGACTCTGAAAAGGGACAGAGACGCCTTCTTGTTATCAAATGAATTACGGATCTAAAGCTCTTTCTTATACGAATGTCACTGGTTTTGTTTCTCTCAATGACCCGGCCTCACACAACAGGATTCATTGTGATTGCCATCCTGCTGTAGGTAACACAAACCCTTTAAGGAACGGAGGGGAATTCACGACCAGCAAGAGACAGAGATGGAGTGTATCCTTTGGACCCCAAGATCCATGTGCAGTGAGCCTCTTCGATCGAGGAAGACCGCTTTGACACCAGAGTAGTGATAGAGAAGCAGCAACAACAAAAGCAGGGGTCACAGCATAAGATCGAGCACTAACTTCCCAGTCCATAGAACAAGGAAAGTTGAGTGGTGCTTGGGGCAGGAGGCTGACTTGTGGGATAGGGCACCCTTGGGCACTTAATTCAGGGTGCTGGGTTTGCTGATCCACGGAGCTGGAATTGAGTATACCTGTGTTTGAGGCATACAGTGGAGTAACATGTCTTTTAGGCATTTGTTAGCAGCCCAGAAGAACATCCTAACATTTCCTGAGCAATCCACCCCTGAATTGTGACTTGTTAACTTCCATAATAAATACACCAAAAGGTAACCAATCAATAAGAAAATCAGTGTATGTAGAGCCATTTTTCCTGGCTCTGAAGGGGCAGGGACCAAAGGGAAATGGAGGAGTGACCAATGGGTGTCCAGGAGTTAACAGAGGAGTAAATGAATACCCTTGATTCTGTCTCTTGAGAATGTTTCTGGGAGAGAGAGTGAGAGCAAGAGAGAGAGAGACCAAACTCACTCTGCATTTGAGTTAATTCTGATGCATAATGACTATAAAAAACAACGAAATCACTGCCATTGAGTCAACTATGATTCATAATCACCTTATAAGGACAAGGTAGAATAGTCCCTTTGAGTTTCCAAAGGTGTACATTTTTACAGGAATGGAAAGACGTATCCCCCCCCCCACATGGCTGGTGGTTTTGAACTGCTGACCTTGCAGTTAGTAACTCAACTTTCAGCCCACTGCACCACCAGGACTCATAGGAAAGCATAAAACACTGGAATGGATTCCAAGAGGCTCAGTCAATCTCTCAATTCACTGCCAGCCAGTTGATTTCCACTCATGCTGAGCGTGTATGACAGAGTAGAACTGTCTCTGTGGCTTTTCAAGACTAAATCTTTTGGGTTTTTTTAATTATTTTATTGGGGCTCATATAACTCTTATCACAATCCATCCATCCATTCTGTCAAACACAATTGTACATTTGTTACCATCATCATTTTCAAAACATTTTCTTTCTACTTGTGCCCTTGGTATCAGCTTTTCATTTTTCCTTTTTTAAAAAAATTATTTTATTGAGGGCTCATACAATTCTTATCACAGTCCATATATACATCCATTGAGTCAAGCACATATGTACACCTGTTGCCCTCATCAATCTCACAACATTTGCCCTCTACTTTAGCCCTCAATATAATTTGCTCATTTTCCCCCTCCCTCCCCCCTTCCCCCTAGCTTTTCATTTTTCCGTTCCTTTCTCTACCCTCCCTCCCTCATGAACCCTTGACAATTTATAAATAATTATTATTTTTTTCTTGTCTTACACTAACCGGTGTCGCCCTTCACCCACTTTTCTTTTGTCCATTCCCCTGGGAGGGGGTTTATATGTAGATCATTGTGATCCATTCCCCTTATTTCCCCCCACCTTCCCCTTACCCTCCTGGTATGGCAACTCTCAATATTGGTCCTGAGGGGTTTATCTGTCCTGGATTCCTTGTGATTCCAGCTCTTATCTCTACCAGTGTACATGCTCTCATCTAGCCAGATTTGTAAGGTAGAATTGGGATCATAATAGTGGGGGGGGGGGGGAAGCACCAAAGAACTAGAGGAAAGTTGTATGTTTCATCATTGCTACACTGCACCCTGACTGGCTCATCTCCTCCCCGTGACCCATCTGTAAGGGGATGTCCAGTTGCCTACAGATGGGCTTTGGGTCTCCACTCTGTACTCCCCCTCCTTCACAATGATAGGATTTTTTTGTTCGGATGATGGCCCTGCTAAAGCCATCTGATGACTCTCAGAGTGCTCTGGGGTCTTCGAGTATTCTTTTCCTCATTGACTGAGCAGTTATCTTGACTTAGAGTACCTGCAGCTAGAGTAACAGGGCGCTCTGACACAACTCTTTAGTGGATTGTGTCCTCCCTTTACAACTCCTGATGCGAAGCAGTTTCAGGTGATTAGTTTATGGGATTCCTCTGTGAGGGATTGCAGGGTATAAAATGAGCCATCCGAAGCAGTGGGGAGGAATCTCAGCAAGAGCCGGGAGTGACATGTGTCCCCTGGACCTCAAGATCCCTGCATAATGGACATGGCATGAGGCTGGTTTGCGGAGTGAGTTGCCTCTGGGCATGTACTTCAGGGAGCTAAATTTGCTGACCCACAGAACTGGAGCTGAGCGCCTTTGGATTGAGGAGCTGAGTGCCAGGTGTACTGTAAAGTGCCATGCCCTTTGGGCATTTATTAGGAGCCCGAAAAGAACATCGTTATCATTTCCTGCCTGAGCAATTGTAGCCTAAGAATTTCTCACCTGTAACTTGCTAACTTCTGTAATAAACCCCATGATCATAAGCATTGTTCTGTAATTTCTGTGTGGCCACTCCCAAGATTACAGACTCTACCTGAAAAGAGAATGCTGTGTGAGATAGAACATGGATTTTCCCATGCATCTGGTACTAAAGTGTTTTAAAGCAAAACTGAAACATGCATAATTGGTCACATGCTATCATCAATCTACCTATCTATCATTAATCTATCTATCTATCTATCTATCTATCTATCTATCTATCTATCTATCTATCTATTTCCTTCTGTATAAGAGGAGTCTACAAAAAGTTTACAGAGAAACTCCACTAACTTTTAGTTCCATTTTATTATAAACATTATGAAACTTCTTATAAATACCCAGGTTGAAAATATACATCTCTCCCTGTTTGCTTTATTCCTTAAGACATGACTACATGTGCCTTTTCAAGTTGAAATTATTACTGTCTTCAGAAATGGACTTGAAGACCTGAGGCTGAGAGTCCTGGTTACCTTTGGCAGGTGGTATCCAGCTACAGTGGTGTCAAACGTCACTTCCCTGGGCACGTTGAGGGGGATGATGTTGCCCATTCTGAGCACCTCGTGGATGACAGCATTGGTGTAGGGCATGTGGTCTCGGTTGGCTATGCTGGGAAGCTGTGACTGGCCAATTACTCTGTCAATTTCAGCTTGTACTCTCTCTGGAAAAGAAGAGAAGTTCCTATGATTTTTTACTCATCCCTACTTCCTTCCAAAGGTGCAGGGGTTGGCTTCAAGGTTTCACATGTCGTATTTTAATTGTGGCCAGGTTACAGACAAATGAAGTGAATTTTAATCCTTCAACTAGATGGGTTGACCTGTGGCTGCAACAATGCGCTCAGATGCCTTAGCCGTTGTGAGGAAGCTACAGCGCTGAGCAGGGCTGGTCTGCTGTGCAAAGGGCTGCCATGAGTTAGAAGGGACTTGGTACCAAACGACAACAATCTATCAAATGGTTTATTTACAAGAGTTCCAACTCCATCGTTTTATTTTGAGTCTCGTTGGACTAAGAAACAAAATAACCAGGACTCAATGAGCTAATATTATAGTGTTGTTAGTTACCATTGAGATTTTTTCCAATTTAAGGTGATGCTAATGTCTAACAGAAGAAAACATCATGGGTCCTGTGCCGTCTTCATGTTCATGTGTGTCACTAGTTCATGCTGTTGCTAGGGGATTCATCTAGGCTCTGTAGACTCTAATTTCTTAAGGAGGTAAATAAGGTTGCAAAGTGGTTCCCTCTATAAGATCAATGCAAGTTAAATTCATTGGAAATTAGCAGTAAATGTTACAAGTGAAGCCCCCTGAGTTAGTTAATTGTGCCAACCTGGCCGATAAACACATGTGGGGCAAATTGAAAGGAGGAAGGATAAATGGGTGGTGAGCCTCGCCTTTCTAGTTCTCAGGTCTCTTGCTTTGTGATGGTCGCACCAGGGTGCAGCTGCCTTAGCAGTTCCCTGCTTCAGCTTGCATGATTGACTTCCTACAAGACATCCCCAAGAAGAAGCCACATGGACCTACCTGGATGCAGCCCTGGGTGCTGGAGAAGCCGTGTGGAGAACCCTGCTAGTGCTGAGATGCTTGTTCATTCACTGACTCAGCTTTCCTCCTTTTCAGCAGTCGGCATCATTGCCTCTGTTTTGTGAGGTGGAGGACTTTGTGGACTCATGTTGGGTTAATGGGTTAATGTTGGACTTGTGGGCTTGGGCAGCATTGGGTTGGGGTGTTTTCGTGATGCACACTTTCTTTACATAAAACTTTCTTAAAATGAGTTGCTGTGGATTGGTTTCTCTAAAGTACCTAGACTCATACACCCCCTGAGCCCCAGTTTCCTCATCTGATTAGAAGACATAAATCTACATTCATCGGAAACATATTTAAGAATGGTATAAACTGATTCAAGTGAGTACCCAATAAATGATAGAAATGTCTAACAGTCATACCCAATATCTGTTCTCTTTTTCTATAGCAATAATGATCTTACCTAGTTACCCAGCTGAATTCCCAGGGTCCTTTGCAACTGTGATCGTGTAACCAAGTTCTGACCAATGTGTGTTGTCTAATCTAACACTTCAAACATGCCCTTCAAGGAAGAGGGGTTGAATCCTTTTGTCTCCAAAGAAAGAAAACGCTAGCAATTTCCACAAGGAGTGAGGACCCATCATAAAGGAGATAGTATCTGATGAGAGTCTTCAAGAAAGCTTGTGGTTTGCCCTGAAGGAAAATTGGGAAGTGTATGATTGGTAGAGGGCACAGCACATTCATATCAACTGGGCATAATAAGGACAGTGAAATGGAAAATGGCATGTGATTTAGTTTGTCCTTCATGCAGACTGGGTGTGGCTGAAGCTGGGGAAAAAAAGGCACATTGTTGCATACCTGCCTGAACTGTCTGGACATGGTTCAGAGGGAGATGCAGATTATTACTTGACAGGTAAGATTTTCAAACAAGAATATCGCTCTTTGGTGAAAGTTCACATAGGGTCAGCTAATTTCATTGCTTTCCCCACATTTTGAGGTTCTTGAGGGAAGGAACCCTGTTGTATTTGCATTAGCAGGACCCATCACAATGCCTGGCAGAAACATTAAAGAGCATGCTTGTTCCTGAGTTTGTGTCGTGACAGTCCCATTTATCTTTTCATTGTGTCCCGCTATCTTCTGGCCCCACTCTGAGGCAGTGCGCTCCAGAAGATGTGCACTCCCCTGGTCTAGGCTCATCCAACCGCCTGCTCACCTTGGGTTTCTGGGTAGAGGGCCATGTAAAGCAGAGCCCAGCGCAGCGTCGTAGAAGTTGTCTCTGTTCCAGCCAAGAAGAGGTCCAGTGTGCTGAAGACAAGGTTTTCTTCATGGAAACTTGAAGTAGTCTTATTACCTGTGTCCTAGAAAGCAACGTGTTTTCTGGTTCTTTTTCAGAGGACTCATACTTACCAAAAACATAGGGGTGCATTATCCTAAGGCAGGGGGCTAGGGAAGAAAGGCACCTAGGATAAAATACTTTGCCTTTGGCTGCTTCAAGAAACATAGGTATTACAGCCATATCACCAACATCATTGTGCCCTTAGGTGGCTTCCAGGACATGAGAAGATAGAAATAAAAGTAACTATTTTCTTAAACCTATAATTTGGACAGGTGATATTAGTATAATGGGAAATACTTCGATTTAAAAATTACAGATTTGAATTTCAGAATCATCCTTACTAGCTATATGACTTAGAGCACCTGACTTAATCTCTCAGTGGCTCAGCTTTCTGCTCTGTAAAATGGAGATAGCCTCTTAGACCACATGATGAGCTGTCTGAATTACAATGGCCACATAACAGTAAGCAACAAAGTGTCTTAATGTTATAAAAAATAACAAAACCTCAGTTCCCCATTTCAAACAGCAATAATTTTCATAACCTTTGTAGGTTATCCCCTCTACCACATCACCCATTCCCTGGGAACCTATCATCTCCCTCTGGATCCTTCCATCTGCCAACATTTCTCTTAATGTGTATCTGGGGGAAAGCTGTTTGCTCCTTGGGCAAGTGGGACAGGATCCCACCTTCCATGGCTCAGGCGAGGCCCCTTGCTAAAATGCTGCTGGCTTAACCTGGGAGCGGATGATGTATGTACTGGATGGTCTGACGCTTGTCTGAGATCAAGTGGACATTTTCCTTCCTGTTCCCTGGGAAAGCTGCTGGAGAACAGCACTCTGCGCAACATCAGTTACTCCCTGATGGTGGCGTTCTGCCCCTCCAGTCCGTGGTCAACAATTGGCTAAGAAAAAAGTTTTGCTTCTTTGTCCTCGGATAATTGCCAACAAGTTGTGGAAACTTGTCACAAGATTCGGGGTACGTGGCAAGGATCAAGGATTGTATATAAACCTGCCTTCACTAAAGCTGTGAGCCTTGGCGAGCCTGTTGCTTCATTTTGTCTCGTTGTCTTTATCTCTCAGTGTTCAAGTTTTCTTGATTGCAGACCGTGCCCCTCTCCAACCCTGTTCTCTTTGTGAGCGAGCTGGGCTCATTAATCTCGCGTGTGTCGTCCCAAACCCAGACACCACATAGCGACTACAGGTTTTTCCCTCGAAACTCCCCAGTCTTCCCACACCAGGAGGTGTAAACATTAATCTAAAAAAAACAAACAAAAACCCTACCAAAAGCAAGACCCTGATTCACTGAGGTACATTTAGTGGAGGGGTCACAGCCTCAAAGATCAAATATCAGATCTGCTTCTTTCTGTCACGTGAGATGGGTGGTAAGGTGGTAGGTGATGGGTGGAGGAAAAAGCAACAACTGGGCTCTGAAACTAAACTCTGACATCCAGTTCAGCTTTGCTTACGTTCTGTCCTAGGGTCTGCGGCGAGGAATAGGCAGTGGCCAGAGAGGAAAGAAGAGGCTAGGTGCTTGGCTGATTGCTGGCAATGGAGAAATAAGCAAAGGGACACGTGTTACCTCTATACACCGAAATACACCAGGAAAAACCATCTCCCAGACCTCCAGCGGAACCAGCACTGTGAATGCATGGAATTTTGCCCAGAGAAACTGATTTTAGACATATGATCTTCATAGGGTTTGCAAAGCTATGTTTTATTACAGCAGTTTGCAGAAAATAATAGGAAAAGGATACACTCCCGTTTGCGCTAAAAGAAGAAAGCAGCTTGGATTTCCTCACCTTTGTCATTTCCTTCAGGTAAGCATCAATAAAGTCTCTGGGTTTATCAGGATCCCAATCTTCCTTGTGTTTTTCAATGATATGAGAAACAAACGATTTCAATTTCTCCCAGTCTCTGAAGAGTTGTTGGTGAGGTCCTGGCAGGAATTTCATTATCCATGGAAACATATTGTAGAGCTGATTGAGAAAAACCAAACAAGAATGGAGACAAGATACTGCCACCTTTCCAGACTATAGAACAACAAACAACCTTTTCTTTTAGAGATCTGTCTTTACACTTAACCCTTGGAGCAAACCTTACCTTCGTTTTCCGTTAGGTGGTTCTAGAGAAGCATGCCAGTTATCGATGTAAAATATGTTGTGTCAGACCACCTTTTACCACCCAAACTGCTGGCTAAATTTCAGACCGTCATATCATACTTAAATGTTTTAACAGCCTCCAATAGTTTATTATTATTATTTCATCTATGCCCCCCCCGCCCCCATCTATTTCCCACAGAGTTATCAATCAGACTGCATTTATCCTTGGATCTCTGTCTTCCAATGGCTTTTGATTGTTGTTGTTGTTGTTGTTGTTGTTAGGTGGTACCAAGTCGATTCTAACTCAGAACAACCCTATGCTCAGCAGAATGAAACACTGCATGATCCTGGCACCATCCTTACATTGTTCCTAAACAAGTAAGTATATTTCTGGTATTCTCTGCTTGTAACCAAGGTCCACCTGACCTTAGCAATAATCTCTGGTTCCTCTTCTGGATCCACCCTGAACTTCTGGCAGTTCCCAGTCAATGTATTTTGGCAATCACTTTTGGATGATCTTAAGCAAAATTTCACTTGCATGGGATACCAAAGTTATTGCATTTAGTTGGGTCACTGAGATAGTTAAAGGCTATTGTGCCAACCTGGCCAATAAACACATGTGGGGTTAATTGAAGGGCCGAGAGATAAATGGCTTGGTGAGCCTTGCCTTTC